AGTGCTCAGCAACAATAGACAAACAAAATCTCAATTAGCATTACCACTACCCTGGGATAGCATAAGAATAATGCAGTATGATCTGAAAATAGCTGGCTTCTAGAGCTTTAAAAAAAAAAAAAAAGAAGGGGAAAACACTATCAAGAAGCTATTCAAATTTAGATTTTCAATCTGAACGTGCAATTAGACACACATTTTTGGAATTATTCTTCTGGCTATAAGGTAAAAAAAGTGATATAAATAGGCAATCTATACATGAAGTACATGTAAATACTATATTAAAATTTAGTTGTATATCATCACACAAGGCACACATAGTATTTTACCAAGAAAGTCTTTCATAGACCAGTCCACATCTCAAGAAAAGTGAACTCAGTGCTTTGTGTATTAATCTCACTAACTTTAGGTTGCCTTTTCCCAATGTCCTGAAACCACGCCCAGGACAAGTAAGCAGCACTGTAGTTCATGTGTGGGCCCAATAAAGATCTAAAGATACTTCCAAAGATTTTGAAGTGACTGGATACCAGAGAAGGAAACCAAAGAGAGGACTGTGAAGAAGGAAATATTTCCAACAGAAATGAAGTATTTCAAGGATAAAGAGAGATGCACCGTTTAAAGTATAGAGCGTTTTACATTTTTGGCCAACTGTCTTGGCTTTGAAAGCCATTTGAACTCTTGGCGACTTCCAATGACTCACAAAGACACCTGACTCTTAAATGACAACTACGAAAGGAAAAACAAAAAGGAAACTATAATTTAATGGAAACCTGATACTATAAAAATTATGCTTAGTCTTTTTTTTTTAGCAAGTATGTTTAAGAAAATATTAAATCAGAATTTAAAGGAGACTGTCAATTAGTGACTAAGGAACAATAATATTATCTTACTTTCCTTCAGAATATTTTCTTACTTTTAAATTGTAAAATCTGAACTGCTGGTAGTTTAATATCCGCTAATTTTGTTTAAAAAAATATGCTTCAAGCCAGTATTCTGAGACTTTATTTCCAGTGAAGTATACAGCTAGGATGACACAGAGCTCCAATATCTCAGGATAAATTGCAACTTTTGTTTTTATTTAAATAATATCAGTCAAAATGCTGTACTGAAAAAATAAAAAAATGAGAGTGTCAAGTTGTGGGACTCTATGGAGAGATGACAGAAGACAGACTGGGCATGTACAGGCTAGCATTTGCCAGTTTTGGGAAAAACAGGCCATTCATTCCAGCAAATGGCAATGGTGCAATTTCAGCTTCTGAAAACACAGCAAGTTGTTAGAAGTATGGGCGATAACTGCTGAATGGCTCTATTTTCACTATAGTAGTGTTGATTTTCACATTCCCACTTCAAAGACGTAAGGTCTTACATGGTGAAAGGTGGAGGTCATCAAATTAGATGCTATTTTGACTCTCCCCCTGAAAGAGAACCACAAGGTGCTATTATTAGAAACGCAGTACAATTTTTGGACAGAGGAGGGTAGGCACCCTCATCCCTGCAAATGTCACAGGGCTCTGCACCTATATTGGAGTGAAGCTGTGTGGGAATAAAAAGTTTCCAGCCACCACTTTTAAAGTGTACTGGGATGCTTTAAAAGGCTTGGGGGGTGGATAAAAGATAAATTTAATTGTGAGGATCCTGCATGGATTCCTTAAAATAGACATTTTCTAGAACTTTCTGAAGGCTCCTGGTTTCAACTACAAGAGTAGTCAGAGATGCTAACAATCCTTTTCTATTTGTTAGTCCTGAAAAGAGTTGCAGGTGCAACATACCAGTGTGGTTTGTAGTCCATTAGACTTCCTACGTCAACAATAGAGGCTTAGAATATCAAGAGTATGGTGTTGACCTTGGATTTAGGTAGCCTGTGGGCACAGGTACAGATGCAGCATGGAGAGCCGAGATGGGGGAAGATGAGGTTGGTAACTGAGGTTGGGGTGGTTTCACTACAGCAGAGCAGATTGGTTTGCTACATTATTAACCACAAGCAGGGTGACTTCTCTGAAATTTGTTTGGAAACTGAACTTCCCCTTCTCAGTGCAATCATTTATCCTAGACTTAAATTAGATGTGTTTTGTACAGAATTGAAACTAAATGGAATCTTTAATGCTTTAGATTTCTTTTCTAAATAGGGATAGGTTGATATGTTTCTACCAACTGAGGAACTTGAAAGAATTGAAAACTTGAGCTAACCAATTGAGAACGTGAATGATGTAAATATTTTATATCATAATTTGGTGCATGAAATGCCTTTATAAACAAACTTCCCCAGATTTACTTTCCATGGTTTAGTTTTGATCCAAGAAATCCAGATGCTTCTGTGAGAACTTTCTCATGTGAAGGCCATGAGAATCACAAAATTTTCTGTTTTGTTATGTTTTATGTTGAGAGAAAATGCTGGGAGTTTCAGGAAGGAGTGGAAGAATCTGTGAAAATGAATAACTTAGTGAATGATCATTCACAGTCTTGGCCACCATATGATGTGTACTTGTGCTTATAAGAAGTCCAAATCCTGAGTAAAAGAATTTGAAATATTTATCCTTTCCTAAAAAAGGGGATTGCTAAATAAATAAACCATCTCATTACACACTGCAATCTGGTCCCATGTAAACACTAGTTGTTAATGAATTCTAAAATCCAATATAGATTAGATACAGAAAGTAACAATTACTCTGACTCTAAACAAATATAATCTACATACCACTGACTTGAGTTTGAAAGTGAAAAATGCATTTATTATAGTTGAAAGGAGAAAAATGAAAATAGGCTGGTTTTCTTAAGTAGGTAGGCACTTTTTATTCATGTAATCTTTAAATCTAAATGCTACATGCATACTATTTTATTAAGAGGCAATCTTTCATAGTGAAAAATAGGTAGTTAAACTGTAATAGTAAAAGGAAAGTTAGTGGTTCTGGGTAACCGAGTGAATAAAATGTTATATAACCAAATGGTTTCAACCTTCAACTCAGACACAAGTCAAGGAAATACTGTGACCTTAGCCAATGGGAAAATCATCAAGCCAGACTTCTTCCAGCTGTGTTTCCCCCCTCTGTGGCCTTCAGCAACTTCAATGGAAGTTTAGTCTGTTTAGGGAGAAAGACGGCCAGAAGAATCAAAATTATTAAACCAAAAAGGTCAATCTTCAAATTAAGTCTTGAACCAGACTCATTTCAGAATAATATTTATGCCTTCTGATGTCTCAGTGCTACAAGCAATATGGCTGACCAATTACAACTCAAGCCGGGCTGATATCATACGTAATTGATGCTATCCTGCCAAAGGGGTGAGTAAAGGAAAAACTTGCTGGCTTTGAAATGTGCAAATCAAGCTATTACTGTTTCCTTAGCATTCCTTTTGATTTCCAACTCAAGCTTATGGTAACTGCAAGAGATAGGAAAAATCCTCAGAGGAGACAGGTCCTTGGACTTAATTCCAAATAAACAGAGGACTAAGGAATTCAGAAAAAAAGTGTTGCTCACAAAGAGTTGACTTTGCCTTTGAAGTGCCTGTGTGTTCCATATTTAAAATCAGACACTTTCATTCATCCAACAGTAGCACAGAGCATTCAATAGCATGATATAATGGCTTTATTTTTTTCAGACTTAAAAAAAGATCTTTCACAGATTCCTCTTTATTCTGTTATAAAACATAAGTTAATTTGTTTTCAAGGATTTTTCAGGTAATCTGAGTTACCTTTAACTTTCAGTTTTAACTGACCTGATGTAATTTTTTAAATGACCACAGATGTGCTAATAACGGTTTAGATCAGTTCTTACTAAACACAGTAGACTGCAGTAAGTCCCTACTACTACCTAAAGGGAAAAGCTATTTAATCTTTATATTTGTGATTTAAATAAACCTCTGTATGCTTTCTCCATTATTTTCTTTCTTGTTAGTTATATAGGTCTAAGGAGAGAAAATATTATGGTGTTGGTCAAAACATCAGTGGAAATAGTAAAATAATGTCTCAATACCATAAATGTCACTGTAGAGTCATACAGGCTACTAGCAACCTGAAGACTGAGCTGCTCCTTCAAAAGGGCCACCCTCACCCAAACCTCAGCATGCTCACTAGCACATTAACAAGTCTGAAGCCCTGAGGTTAGATAAAACAAAGAAACCTGTTTAATAGTCTAATCCCAGATTTCTCCAGCTAACCTGAATGCATCACACCCCCACCTTTTATTTCAATGAAATTCTTAGTACCAAACTTCAGAACATGCACACCTGGTTTTGTATGTCTACTTTTCTTTCCAGCACAATGACTGGCAGATAGTGGGATTTTAGAATGAATAAAGGATCAAATGCATGGCTATATTCAAGAGAGTATGTACCTTGTGTTAAGTAACTTTTTGATTAAAAATGTCTCTATATTCCATAGTAAGAGTTTCATTCAAGATTATGGAGAAAGAGTGATATTACTTCTATTGTACCTTCAAATATGCTAAATTGAGAAATTGCAGCATGGTTGTGAAATGTGTCTCTTCTAACAAGCAAGTGTACTTTAACAAACACAAAATGTAATATACATTATAAACTATTGCTTTATTGTCCTTGTCAATCTTTCTACCAAGACTCAGTAGGATTCAGTTCTTGGTTGCTCACCATATTTTAGAATTTAATATAAATCTTGTTCCATTGGTAAGTTACCATGTAAAGGACATAAGTTTGTGAAAACACTCTGCTGTTGAGAAAAACAGAAAGCTAAAAGTTGATAGATAGTGCCAAATTATGTGAGAACGCTTGCAGACTTAGTCTCAGCGACACAAGTTTTGTGCTGTGATTTTGGTCACAGTAAACCAAAGATGTTCCAGGGTACGAGTCAAATGATCACCGTGGGACATTTGGCCATAGTAAGACAAATAAACTCTGATATGAATGCTTTAATGCTCTACAATTCGGTAACATTTATAAATTCTTTATTGCTAATAAAAATGGATGATTGGAAATAAGAAACTACAGAGTTCACCCAACGGTACTAGAACAAAAAAATACTAAAATGGATAAAGTATTACATTGTACATCTACAAGTTGTAATAAACTGCTGAGATTCTGTATACAATTCTGAACACTTATAAAGCAGACTAATATGATATATGCCTATCTCCGTGACATGTTATAACACATGATAATTCATTAGGGAGAAAGCATTCTTTAAAATAATCAGCTGTATATAAATGGTCTAAAATGCTGGCAACTTTTGCCTCAAGGGGAACTAATTTTCCTCCTTTTTAGCCTGCAATTTCTGAAAGGCCTCAATTACAAACCCAAATTTTGGTCAGGAAAATGTGACTGACCACACTTGAAAAAGGAAAATGCAAAGTGAAAAATATTACTCTTTCTCTGCTGGCAAAAGTTGCCAATAAATAGCTGCACATCACTTATGACCTGGTATTATTTGGGTTGGTTTAAGTTACATCATTCATGAAGACCAACTGTATTGTCATTTTCACTAATATTTGGCAATATCAAAGAGCCAGGGCAACAGGTATGTCTGTTAAACAATCTGGGCCAATCACAGCAAGGACACATATGTGATTATTATTTGGAAACACTCATGTGAAATAACTAGTTACATTTTGCCTTTTTTGCTTTCATATTCTTCCTTCATTTGTGGACTGGTTCCACTCATTGGTAAACTTGCGGCGTCTTCCTTGATTGAAGCTGAATCTGGAGCAACAGTTCTTTTAGTAAATGCTGGCGAGGTGAGAGGAAAGAAAAATAAGCCAAGATGAATATAAAATCTGGGCTAAAAAATTAACTCTCAGAAAGTAGTTAATTAAGCATGGTATTCAATCTTATAGTTTTTTGTAATTACAAGGCCTTTACATGTATTAACAGACATTTAACGTAAGAATAACCATATTCATATGACTTAAAAACTTTACAAAAATTCTGATGAAGATGTGTGCTTCATCAGAATACAGAGACAGATAGACACAACACTCCCACGCACACACGGAATTGTAGAGAGAGAAATCCGAAGGGCCTCCTTTTTACTGAGTCCTCTACTCTACTGAGAGTAGAGTTGGACTCTGAAGGTACTGGTTCTCTACCACCTCCTACCTCTCCTCTGAGGTCTCAACACCTCTCTCCAATGTCTGTCACAGCTTCCCTCCTGATTTCTACTTTCTGATGCCTGCACAATCCCTTACTCTTCTCCATCTTAGAAAATGACGCACCCATCTACCTAGGTTCTCAAACCTTGCTTCTTCTCTTTCTCTGTTCTACCTTATCCCTCTATTCAATTTAAGAATAGGTTCTGAAAATTCTTCCTTCCAAATGCACCTGACCCAGCTTTATGCCTTCTCCATTACTAACACCCCAGCTCAAGTCACTGGTTTCTACCTTCTGGTTTCCTCCTGAATCCCTTGTAATCCTTTCTCCTCATCACAAACCAGAATTATCTTTCTAAAAAGCAAGTCATGTATAACTCTTTTCCTGAACCCTTTAATGACTTCCCAGTAAACTCAGAACAAAATCCGAACATCTGACCATAGCTGTACCCTTCCACTCACTTTATTAGTATTCCACCCCTCTAGCAGGCCATGCTTGTCTTCTCTGGAGTCTTCATACTTTCTGCCACACTGACCAGGGAGACCCTTTCCACCAAATTTCAACTCAGCTGGTTCTTCTTGTCATTATGGTGATAGCTTAATTGTAACCTCCTCAGAGAGGTATCCCCTCATAATCAATCTGATGTACTGATCCTGGTTCCAAGTACCTGCCATCATTTTGACTTTTCAGCACCCATTTTAAATTAGTAATTTATTTGCACACTAATTGTTTCTCTGTGAGACAAGGGGACCTTGTCTGTCTTGTTCATGATGGTCTCTAAGCACAGAGCCTTGTGCATAGCCTCTTAGTAAATAATAGTTGAAAAAGCAAATATATTTAAAGGATTTCTAAACAGTCAACTGGGAAATTTTTGGATGATTTCTATAGAGCAGCTAAAGAGTATCCTGTCAAATTACAATAATCAAAACTCAATTATTTTAAAGTATCTAGCGTTCATCTGGTCAGTGAAAAATACCTGGAACACAGTTACACAAAATGAGCCTATAAAGTGAGGGAAACAGGAATGTGCTCCCATGGAATCAACAAATCCTTTAACGCACAAGAGAAAATTTCTTACATTATCAACTGATGAAATGTTTTTATTACTATACATTTCTGGCATTTCATCTTACAAGTTTGAGGACAAACTACATATAAAATATTTATTACCAGTTATCCAGATGGGCTTTGAAGTATATATAATCCAGAAGTGAAAATAGCATGCTATTCTTGCTGTGGATAAATTATCTTTCATACAAAGGTCCTAAATTCCCACCAAAGGCACCTCAAAACAAAAATTAAGAACACAAACTTCATTTTTAACAGTGATGTAAACAGAGGTAAGGAAGAAAAATATCTTTTTGAAGCAATTTTCATTGACTTGCTTTTCTAAGACTATCAAGTTAAAATAATATGAAAGATTAACTTGAGGGGCCTTTGTTGTGGCCAGTGGGTAAAGCCTCTGCTTGAGACACTGGCGTCTTACACTGGAGAGGTGTTTTGAGTCCGAGCTGCGCTGCATCTGATGCAGCTCCTTCTTAGAGCAACTTGGAAGGTACCAGAGGATGGCTCAAGTACTTGCGCCTCTGACATCCATGTGAGAGATCCAGATGCAGTTCTAAGATCCTGCTTTCACCCTGGCCCAACCCCAGTGGTAGCAGTCTTTTGGGGAATGAACCAGCAGACAGATGGAGGATGTCTCTGTGTGTTGCTCTCTCTGTCTCTCACCCTTTCTCTATCTTTCAAATAAACAAAATAAATCTTTTTTGTTTAAAGGTTTTTATTTATTTACTTATTTGAAAGGCAGAATTACAGAGAGAGAGAAGGAGAGATAGAGAGATCACCTATCCCATTTGACTCACTAAATGACAATAACCGCTAGGGCTGGGACAACCTGAAGCCAGGAGCCAGGAGCTTCATCCGGGTGTCCCCCATAGGTGCAGGTGCCCAAGGACTAGGGCATCATCTTTAGCTGCTCTCCTAGGCACAGCAGGGAGCTGGATTGGAAATGGAGTGGCCAGGACCCGAACCAGTGCCCATATGAGATGCCAGCATTGCAGGCAGCAGCTTAACCTGTTCTGTCACAACACCAGCCCCCAAAATAAATCTTAAATCAAAATTAACTTTGAATTTCTATAATAATCTTTAGATACCATTTCCCCCCATGAAAAATTACAGTCTTTTTAGAGAGAGGGAGTTATTTATTTATTTTAGCAAACATCATTTTTTTAGAACAGTGTTAGATTTACAGAAAGTTTGCAATCTACATTTATTTTTAAAATTTGGTTTGGTAACACCAATTCCACAAAATTAAACATTTTGTCTCAAAGGACTAGAGATTTCTAGAAGTCATTAGTTTATTACAGACTCCAAGTCAGGTCTGGTCCCAGCCCCAGAGTGAAGGCCCTGTCCTACAGTTGTGTTGCTTTAGTCTAAAAGGAGCTATACATGGAGCCTAGTGGTCAGTCACTACTTATAAAAAGTAAAAATGACAGTTTCAAAAGCTGACATTATTAGTCTCTTTTACTAAGCCCCCACTGTCTACCGGCTGAAGGTAATGGAATCCAAGTCTTCTAAAAGAGTGTCCTGACTCACGGCCATAACTTTAGCTAGCCAGGATAAATTTGGTAGTGATCATGGCTTTAAATAATGGATTTCTGTGTTCCTATTTCCAATGGTAATATAAACTTACAATTTATACATTTCTTCCCTTCTTCCTGGCAGAAGGAATCTACCTTTTCTTGAATTGACCTGAACTACACAAAGCTGACATAAATTACTTCTTAAAACAAACTTTCATTAATGCTGGATCATTTCAGAGACCACAAATTATGCAGTATTTTCCCATTTCCTTTGTTTTTTTCCATGGTTAGTGATTCTGTGCTTCAGTTTGGTCACAGTTTGACAGGGCACCTAAGTCAGCAGAATGAATGTCTTAGCGTCTACAGCTTAGACAAAGGGCCTCATCCAGTACAAATTCCAGCCTAGGTCAAAAGGTACTTATTTTGTGTACCCAGAAACTCACGTCTGCTAAAGACCTATAATTACCTTCTCACCAAATATCTATACAGGTCTAAACTGCTCTAAACATCCCATCCCAGCTTTTATGCACCAACTAGAAGTTAACAAGAAAATTGTTCATCACACATAAAAGATGGGATTTTCTTTTTATTCTTTAAGATCTACTTATTTTATTTATTTGAAAGGCAGAGTGACATTGAAAAAGATAGAGGCAGAGATGTCCCAGCTGCTGTTTTACTCCCTAAATGCTTGAAAGAGCTGGGACTGAGCCAGGCTGAAACCAGGAGTCTGGAACTCTGTCTAGGTCTTCCTGGTGGCAGGGACCCAACTACCTGAGCCATCACATGAAACCTCCCAGGTTGCTCATTACCAGAATGATGGATTGGAGGCAAACAGGAAATCAAACCCAGGCACTCTAAATATGGAATGTGAGTGTCACAAGCAGTGTTCTAATCACTGTGCCAAATATCTATACCCAATAATGGGGTTTTCTTAGCACATAAGCACTTCTCCTTATAAGAATCATTTGTTGTCAAAGTGCAGCTAGACATATCAAACAGGATCAAAGTTTTACCTGTAAAACAGGAGTCACTTGTCCTGTCCTCCTGATTCCCAAAGTCCCACTCACCACTAGTCAACCATGATCAACTCCTTTAGCTTTTTGCTCTGTGTTTACTTTTTTTGAAAAAATATAAGAAGTAAAAAAGCCTATATTGCTAATTTCTGAGTTAGCATTTTATCCATATCTATCCTTTATCCACAGTTCTCTGCACTTTATCCTCTGAATATAGTTACAAGTGGACTTTTAGTCCTGTCAATACAGAGAATTTGTATTTTTATGACTATGTAAATGCGGTTCACACAAACCTAGTAGGTATACTATAATGATGCTTCTTTTCTTGTCCATTTATCCTCCAGGGCTTTTAGTTGACCTAGTTTTAAAAATGCTTTATTTGCTCTTTCTCCGTGACCATCTTAATTATTTCTAATTGCTCACTTAGAACTGCCATGTGTCTATTAGCAGTTTCCCCCACTAAGTGCTCAACTGTGTGAGATGATCTGTCAGTTGTTTGTTTCCTAAACATATTCTGTATGCAATCTTTGCTTTCTTCCTTCAACACAGAACTGAAGACCATGAGGGTCCAGATTAAAAGACTCGATGGATGGGTAAAATAAGACCCACAGTGAGGCATAACATAACAAACTCACTGTGATAAAAAGAAGATACCAAAAGTTCCTGTGGCCAGAGGTGGGAAGGATACGGCATAGTACAGAGTGTGTAGGGGTGGGGTGGGGTGGGGGGAGATCACTTCAAAGGAATGGGACTCAACATATATACATATGATTTTTAACAGACACTTTGGATTCTGGAGAATAAATGCCTAAAGATTTCAAAAGGAAAATCATTTTCCACTTGGAATTTTATAGCCAGCCAAAGTACCTTGTAAGTGGAAGAAATCTATTTTCAGAAATACAAAGAATAAAAACATTTACCTCTCATTCTCTGATGTGCTTCCACAAAAGAAAAGAAAAGAAGAGGAAGGCACAGGATCTGGAAAGCATGGGCATCGGGAGGAAGGCAAAGGAAAATCTCACCATAACGGCCATGCAATAGCTACTGGTTGGGTGGACCCTTTTAATCTGGTCGCTCCTTGTCTTTTGCTGTGTTTTCTTTGTTCTCTCATTCTAAGACTCTCATTAATCACATGTTGTGTCTCTTGAATTGATTTTCTAAAAATCTTACCTTTTCTCTCCTATGCTTCTATTCTTTTTTTTTTTCCTACTTTCTTTGTGGCTTTCTTCAACTGTTTTCTTCCTTTCTAGTTTCTTTCGTCTTATTGGTCATAATATTTCAAAACTCATCCAATGTTCCTCTGACATGTTATCTTGCACTTATCACAGTGGACAGAATATTTTGTCTCTCTGAGGGCACATCTTCTGTTCCCTCTATTGTCCATTGCCATGGGTTCTATTTTCCTTTTCCATGGCCCTAACATCTCTTTTGTAATTGTTGCCAAAAAACATAAATTATTTTTTAGACTGTCATGTAATAAATTTAAATTTTTATGGGGTACTGTGCAATATTTCAATACATGTATATAATACAAACTAATCGAATTAGGCAATTAGCATTTCCATTTCCTTATCTTTTCTTTACACTTAGTACCTAGAGGCTCGTCTCTTCTAGTTCTTCACAAAGGATGCGATACATGATTGTGAACTAACATCTCTTCTTTTTAATTTAAGGGCTTTAAAGAGAGACTCAATAGAAATTACAAGATAATTTCTACAATTAAGCTGAAATAGTTATGGGAAAATAGGGAAGTACTCAAGGTGATCCTAATTTCTCCCTCTGCTAATATAGCACATTATTAAAATACAGAGAATATATAAGATTCATCAGAAAAGCAAATAACACATACGATTTCTAGAAATGAGTTTATGTGATCACTCAAAATAATGGTTAAGGAGCTATTGTTAGGGAATATCAGAAAACTTGTCAATAGGAATAATATCACAACATAAGGCTAAGAATTAATAAATTCATTAAATGACTTATCAATAAATTTTTATTTTTAAGCTAAAGTTGTCAGATTTAATAACATAAACTGTAATAAATGCCTTACTCAACATATGTTCTCAGTGACACTTTTCCATTATTACTGTTTAATTTTACTGTTTGTGAACCAGTATGCTAATATAGAAACCTACAGTGGCCTGTGAGGATTGTATCTTACAGAAATGACCACTTCTGGTCACAGCTAGAATGGAAAGTGGAATGCAATATCTTTTACTGCATATCATAATATTACATGAAATGCCAAAAGTCTTTATGTTTTCTTCTTACTAACTTCCAACCACTTTTCTGGGGATTATAAAGCAAGCCAAATTGGCAACAGAACAATGACTTCGGTGCTCACATCACGGTGCTATCTTTAGCCTCCCTGCCATCTTAATGGATGGTATCCTCTGATGTTTGATACTGCTTAATACCTATCCTCTTCCTCCATGTTTAATTTTATTAAACAAACTTGGAAAAATTTTCCATTGCTTAAAATGGAAGACACCAAATTTGGCCTATATATCAGATTCTGATGCCATAACCAACTTAAGATGTGAATCATGCTGACGAGTGGCTGATTGATGAGGATAGCAGAGGGTGTACACAGATACACAATCACTGGGCAAAGTGACTAGGACAGGAAAGAAATGCTTAGCTTCTGGAATAAAATAATCATGATATAATGGAAACCAATCATTTATCAGAAACTGATAAATATTTATTCAATGAATCTATGAATACAAATCAGAGTTGTCACCTTTGAATTTGACCCACTTTCCTGGGGCTTATTATGGCATTTCATTTTATAGGAATCTAGCAATTTTAAATGACAGAATTATCAAATTTAATGCACAAAACTCCGGAGCCTTAGTAAACTGAAGAAAAAAATTATTATCTGAAGAATACATTAAATAACATTTGAATTCCAATAGCTCAGCTAAAAGTTAACTTTTAAGAAAAAAACTCATTTACTCATTCAGTTAATTTTAATTGAATACTAATTACACATTTACTATGTGACAAATGCTTTGTAGAGTGCTGAAAAACAGTCATGAACAAGACAGGCACTGCCTCTATCCTTACTGAGTTCACACTTTAGTAGAGGGAAGAATCAGCATACAAGAAGTCACCCAGCTAACAAATAACTCTATAATTATTACTTTGATGAAAGGAAAATCCCAACACACTGAGAGTATACATAATAGAAACCACATTTAGAACTGTAAGTTCTGATGCCTTTTTTTTTTTTCAGGTTGTAACAATAAGTTGACACTGGAATAACATGTACAATAAGGAAGGGAAGAGGAGGGACTGTGGGAAATGGCATCCTAGGCCAACAGACTCAGGTCTCATTGCTGTTAATGATAACATTTTGTCAATATGTACCACGTCCTCAAAGTGAAATAGAGCAGGTAACAGTAGTAGAAGTCTTACCTGTTATACAAGATTATACATTTCTGAACAAGAATGTGCAAAGATATTTAAGTGGACTATTACCATAAAGAACATGTTTTACCCACTCATTTAATGTTATTAGCAAATCTCCAGATAAAAATGTTCTTAAGAATTAAGAAAAACTTATTTTTTTTAAAATAAGTATCTAAAAAAGAGGGGATTCCATAGATTCTCAGTAAACTGTGTAATACAAATATGAAGCATTTCTAAAAGTTCATAGAAAAATGGAATTAAAAAGTTTATACTGGACAAATATTTCTTAATTCCATGCATATTTTTTCACAATATGCATTTTTCAGGAACTTTTTAAAACCCATCATGTGCATGGATTTCAATTTTTGCTCCAAAACAACCTATTTTTTTAATTCAGTTTTCAATGAACTTACTGAAATATCCTCAAAGAATTATGGGAATTATTTATGTGATTCATAATGAAATTTTTCTCAAACCTTTAACATGAATTTTACTATCATATATTGGCATTAAACTTTAATTTTTCCATGAGTTGCATTTTTTTAAATCCAATTTAAAAACTGTTAGAGGACTTATTACTTACAGTTCAAGTGTGAAAATCGTGGACTAGACAGGAAGCAACTGTGATCTCGCCAGGAGGATGAGAGATCTAAGCCATAAGTGTGGGGACCTTCAGTAAAGCTTCTGTCACCCTAAGAAGGAAAGTCGGGATTCCAGTTGAAAAAATACAAAATGTAAGGACCAAGATTCATTCAAATATACTGATATTTAAATTGATCCTCAACATATAAAAGATGCTATACAGGTACAATTTAATAGAATTATAATGCTTATAAAAATTGAAGTATATTACATGCTAAAAGAAATATGAAAAATAGAAAGGAGTCACACATACTCTTTCTGGCCTTTTCCCTCCTATAACAGGATTTATAAATGGCTATAACACTTTGTGTCCTCCATTATTTACATTTGTAGTCATTACATTATCCTAACCTTTAGCTAAGGGTTACTCACAGACTATCTAACAGATACACTATGCTTCACTCGGCCATTATTTTACTTGGCCTCTAGGCGGTTTCCAGAGTTTTACTCCTATAAATAACACTCCGAGAAATACCTTTAAATACATAACCTTTTCCATATTTAGTACTATTCCTTATGACAAATTCTTAGGTGGAAATTCTTGAGTCAATAAAAATGTTTTAAAATACATTTAGCTAGACTTCTTTCCATAAGGATTAGCCCTCTTACTCATTCAGCAAATATTTATGTATTATAAACAAAAATGAACACAGAGAAGGTGCCTCTCCTTTATATGAATGCATCCTTTCCCCCACGTATTAGCTGAAAATGAGAAATAACCTCAAGTAATTTGATTAAACACTTTTAAAATAGATATTTTTCTTTGAAAAACAGTAAAACTGTAATTTTTCTCATGAATGTTTTCTAATTATTTATTATTTATATTCAAAAATCTGCAATGCTACAAAATCTGAAACTGGTGGTGATCTGGTAGATGGGAATCTCAACTCCTAAACTCTGTACAAAAATTCCAAAATCTGAAAAACTCAGACATTTGAAACACTTCTGGTCCCAAACATTTCAGAAAAGGGATACTCAGCCTATACTACTATTGTTTTTTCTTTCTTTCACTTATTCATTGTTCAATAATGACTTCTTTGGTAGCTACTATGTACTGGGAAAAGAACAAATACAGCATTGGAGTATAAGGTCAGTAAACTTTCAGGATTGCATCAGAGAAAAATATTTCAAAAAACATACAAAATATTTTATTATTAAAAGCAATGATCAGTACTGTATAACAACAAGAAATAACTATAAGAAGCAAATATTTAGATTTGGAATTCAGAGATTACTTTTCTAGGATGTAATATTTAGGGTGATATTTAAAAGCTGAGTATGAATCAATGAATTAGCCAGGTAAAAACTTAACGGGTTGGGGAGGTGGAAAGCAGAAGGCAAGGGAGGGGAAGTCATTGAATGGTGTTCCAGACTCACATGTGTGCCGGGCTAAGTGTCCAGTGTGTCAGTAGAACTGAAACGAGGCCCCATGGCTTAGGCATATTAAGCCAGGGGACAGTGATTACAGCAGAGTAAAGGTGACTAGAGGCCATGTTTAGGACATGGAATTCTTTTTTTCCTTTAGCAGAACTAGAACACAATCATGGATTTTAAACTCTGGTTTTTATTTTTCAAAGGCTACTGGGTCTCTGTGTAGAATGGACTGGAGGAGCACAAATGCTGAAGTAGAACACTAGTTAAGACTTGACTGTCCGGTGCCATGGCTCAATAGGCTAATCCTCCGCCTAGCGGCACCGGCACACCGGGTTCTAGTCCTGGTCGGGGCGCTGGATTCTGTCCCGGTTGCCCCTCTTCCAGGCCAGCTCTCTGCTGTGGCCAGGGAGTGCAGTGGAGGATGGCCCAAGTGCTTGGGCCTTGCACTCCATGGGAGACCAGGATAAGCACTTGGCTCCTGCCTTCGGATCAGCGCGGTACGCCGGCCGCAGCGCGCTGGCTATGGTGGCCATTGGAGGGTGACCCAATGGCAAAGGAAGACCTTTCTCTCTGTCTCTCTCTCTCTCACTGTCCACTCTGCCTGTTAAAAAAAAAAAAAAAAAAAAAAAAAAAAAAAAGACTTGACTGAGTATGACTGTGGACTCTAGGGAGACAGAGGGACCAAGGACACTATCACAGTTTCTATGTGAAACAACTGTGGATTCAGTGACCCACAATGACTCCTTAAAACATGGCTCTCATGGGAGGCCGGTGCTGCGGCACACTGGGTTATGCTGCTGCCTGCAATGCTGCAGTCCCATATGGGCAGGGCGCCAGTTCATGTCTTGCCTGCTCCACTTCCTATCCAGTTTTCTGCTAATGTGCCTTCTGCGGCTTAGCAGAAGATGGCCCAAGTCCTTGGGCCCCTGCCCCCATATGAGACATCCAGATGAAGATCCTGGCTTCAGCCTGGCACAGTCTCCACCGATGCGGCCATTTAGGGAGTACATCAGAGGAAGGAAGATCTCTCCCTCTCCCTGTCTCTACTCTCTGTAACCCTGCCTTTGAATAAATATAAATAAATAAAAATCTTTAAAAAAACAAAAACATGGTCCTCACATATAGTAAGGCCTCCTGTAACATGACAATCTGATGAACTAGCTGTCATGCTCTATGCCAAATATCAACTTTATGTTTATTTATCATCACATACATTATTTGTAAGTAAAAAGAAAAGCCAAAAAAGGAAAAGATTATGCATATCTGTAAAAGGCTCAATTATTCTGAGCTAAAGGTCTAGATATAAACCTCAGATGGTTCAAGATCACTAGCCTTCAAGCATCACAGGGAGTTTAGGACTATTTATTAAGTTGAAGATCTGAGGTTTTTAACTAAGTGATTTTTTAAATTCTCACTAATTATGGAGATTTCACTAATAATGGGAAGTCATTCACTGTAGGACCTATGGAAAGGTTGTGTCCCAAGTGTACCACAATCACTACTTTAGCATGAGCTTACATAGGGCAATGAGAGGCCAGTGAGCTGCTTAGGGTGGTAGTTCAGATGTGACATACGGAAGACCTAGACAGAACTGAAAGACATACATGGAATGGAGGACTAGGATCTCAATCAATGCTAGAAAACTCCACTGAACCATGGTTTCAGTATAAAGTACAAAAGAGAAAAGCAGAAATGAATGGTTTCCCAACATAAAAATTATAGGGCAGTAAGAGAAAGTGAAGAGGAGAAGCAAACACACCTTTTGCCCACTGACACCTGAATGGAAAGACATTTGAGGAGGTCTGGACATCTGTCAGGAACAGACGGAACAATGATGGATAGCAGGAACCCAAATATTGGACCATTAGCCAGTGCCTCTCAGGCACATGAAAAGAAACTGGATGGGAAGCATGGGGGCCACCTGATAAGGGTGCAGCATCTCAAGTGATAGATTAACCAGCTGCACCACCAAGTTAGCCCCCATATTATTCCTTAATTATACATTTTGAGGTTATTCGGAGCTATATCCCTCTTTTCTTCCTAATAATGCCATTTATATATTTCCTCTTTCTCTTAATCACTCCGGCTAGAAGTTTTAAAATTTTATTAATTTTTTCAAAGAACCCAATTTTTGTTTAATTTACCTATTTGATTTTATTTCGTTGATTTCTGCTCTTTTCTTTTCTTTTTCTGATAGACTTTGGGTTTAATTTGTGCTTTGGTTTCTAGTTTCTTACAGTAGAAACTTACACACTGATTCAAGACCATTCTTCTTTTGTAAAATACATACTTAATTTTGTGAATTTTCCTTTGAGTACTTTTAAGTTGATCCCACCAATTTTGATAAATCATGTTTTTCTTTTCATATAGCTAATATATTTTAAGTTTTCTATATGATTTCTTCCTTCACAAATCCATGGACTGATTATTTAGAAGTATGTTGCTTAATTTGTAGCTAGGTGGGAGTTTTTCAAATACTTTTCTGTTACTGATTTCTAGTTTCAATGTATTTTAGATAGTCAACATATTTTGTTTAATTTCAAACATCTTAATTTGTTTTCTCACTCATAATATAGTCTATCCTATAGAATGCTTGATGGATAGCTGAAAAATGCATGGAGTTAACTGTTGTGAGGAAGGGCATTCTGGAAGTGTCAGATCTAGTTGGGTGACAGTGCTATTCAAGTCTTCCATATCTTTACTGATTTTCTGCCTAGTGTTTTGTCAGTTACTGAGAGAGAAATATTGAGGACTCCAAGTACAATTACGGCTTTGCCAATCTATATTCACAGTTTACATATTTATCTTGAGAGTTCTGTCAGTTTTTGCTTCATATACGCATTTAGGACTGATACCCTTTTCCCCTCATACTTTTTGGTTCATTCATCATTCAACCACTCACATTTTGTTTTTCACTATGTAAAATGAGAAGATTTAATTCTAACGCATCTTTAAATTCTAACATTTTAAAAGTCTTCAAAGGAGCTAGCATTTTGGTACAGAAGGTTACTAGTATCCCATATTGGAGTGAGGATCAAGTCCTGGCTGCTCTGCTTCTGATCCAGCTCCAGGCTTAATGTGCCTGAGAAGGCAGGGGAAGATGGCCCACCCTTGTTGCATACACAGGAGACCCTGCTGGAGTTCCTGGCTCCAGACTTCGGCCTGGCCTAGCCCAGGCCAGGCCATTGGAGCCACTTTGGGGAGTGAACCAGTGGATGGAAGATTCATCCCTTTCTCTCTCTGTCGCTCTGCCTTTCATGTAAATAAATCTAAAAAAAAAATTATTCAAAATACTGCCCAAATCATTTATATTACCTTGAAATAGAACTAGTCAAATTAGTCCTAAAATAAAAATATTTAACCCCTTTGAACAATCAACCTACTAGAATGTAAAGAAAATACTTCCATTTCCAATTCTACATTGATATTTAATTTGTAAAATTTACCATAAAATTAATGTCTCTTTCTAATTCCTACCTATCTTTGATGCAAACAGATAAGTATTAAAAAGAAGTATTTATTAAATAGGAAGATTCTTTGCTATTTTAATAATCTCAGTTTTTCCTTTTTACCAATTCTTATTTCTTTAGCACAAGGCCTTATTTTTAGTGCTGTCTTAAGTCTCAACAAGGTACTTAGCCAGAATTCTCTGCAAAGATTCCATTGGATAAAGGGA